GTAAAAATGAAGTAAGGATGGGATCTATTCAAGTGATGTTGCCATGTAAGTGTCAAGTGGCGATGGGCTTTCTATCAATCATGTATTGTAGAAACGGGAATACAATTTATTTATATTATAAGATATTTTTGATAGCATAAAAAACCATAAGTAAGTATAGTGAAGATCCACAAATGTAGTAAAATTTAAGAAATCCAAGAGGTTATTCCAAACTTGTTCAGAGGTTTGGGATAATGTAGATGCGGGGACTTACAAATCCATTTCAATAGTTGGTGCCAAATATATGGCTTGACACGGGAATCAGAAGATCAGATAACCTATAGATTCAAAGGTATTCAGCTAAGCCAGACATACTGTGAGTGTAAAAACTGCGGACGTTTTCGAAATATGCCATTTAAACAGAGCTATTTTCATTTGCACATAATTACGATATCATGAAAACTTACTTTGTGTTTAGTATACTTACCGATCCCAGAGGTAGAGCTACTTCCGACAGGTATAATCAAGGGCTTCCCAAACTCAGTCTGCACATTTTGGCTGTAAGGTGAGCCAAAAGCTAGATGTTGTAGCCAGGCCTTTATTCGATTTATATGGAGCCCGTCTTTAACTGAAATAAACTAAAATTAAATTAATAGACAAATGAAGGTAATTTCTTCTCATCTTCAACTAAATGTGAACCATTAATTTAGAGGAAATACGTACGAATAAAGAAGCACCTAGATGAAGTGCTACAAGTCTGAGGACTTTATTTATCATCCTTTGCTCATTTACGTGCAAATGCTATTTAGTAAAGAATCGTGGTAAATCAACGAAATTTACTAGAAAATGATCAAATTTAGTTCCAATTATTGTAAGAGGTATTGGGAAAACTGTCAGTTGATAAGATTCAAATAACTTTTCTGGTATTTCCTTGCTCCTCTTTTCTCTGAGGGTCAAACGAAGTTGATTTCCATCCTTAGTTGAAATTCGGTCTGAAACCTTGTTTATTCTAGCCTGAACAGCATCCAAAAGAGTCTCTAAAGTGATCCACAACTCCTGAGGCTTTGAGAGATCTAGCACAATTATCAGATGAAATGTCCTAAAATAAAAAAGTTCTTTATAAACAGGTAATAAAAGAGGTCTTAGCAGTTGAAGAAACTCAGAAAATACTAAGAACTCGTCTCTAAGATGGTTCATTGCGAATCAATTTACAATTACATGTCAACAGGTAAGGTAATGTGATTAGGTATGTGCTGTGCTCATAGAAATTACTAGTAATGATTTAATAATGCACAATCATTTTAATCTTTCTTATCACAAATAGATCAAATGACGACCAGCGAAACTTGGTTCCGCCAATGATTTCCCTTA